ATGGCGGGCCCAGACGTCGAGGATGATTTGGCCCTCGACCGTTTGGTTTGGTGATTGGACATTCCGCTGGCATACCTTGCCGCGTGGTAAAGCATCGTCTGGTCGTAACATGGAACCGTGTGCCGCCAGCTGCCAGCACAACGCTACGATTCAGTCGGGGTAAATACTCTCGGATCCACGGACGTGACTATACTCTGTCCAAGTTTCTAGAAGCTGAAGACGATGCGCTAGAAGCTGAAGACGATGCGCTTGATAGGACTGGAAACGCCTATGGACCAGCTTAGTCCAAAAACATTTCCTCTCCCGTCCCTACATCTTCGTGCTGTTTCAGACAATCTTCACAACGGCTGTAGCTTTACAATGATTCGGGGCATACTAGTCAATAACTACAACGCCAAGGGAATGTTATGATTACCGTGCAGTACTCACGACGAGCATTTTCCGAGATAAGACCGAAATCGTGGCCAACCACTCTCGCCAAGGAGCATGAAGAGGCCCTGGACACTTCAATTCCCTTGCCAGAAACTAGCGGTGTCTATATAGATCACAAAGGGGGCCAACAACATGAGGGTTCTCCACGGTGAGAACAACGGTGAGCATGCAGCTTCATCCGAATACAGAAATTCTTAGTGTAGTTTCACTGGCGATTAACCAGTCGTCGTCTTATTCGCCTACGGCTGCGCGACCCAGAGAATGCCTGGACGACTCCAAGCCAGTTTCGAGCCGCTGGGACAAGCTATATCATTGTAAACATTCAGTCGGCCCCCAAGCCTACCCTTTGGATTTGGGTGCGCGATCAAGAGGGAAGTCTGTTGGTATGATTCTTTGTACTTGGCAACGAGTAGGTAGCTTGTGGCTTCTATCAGAGTACTGTTTTTATTATTTTCTGTATGACATCGTGATCATGTCATCTGTTGCAATTTCCTCGGGTTCTGAAATGTATTTTAACTAAAAAGTGTATAGACAGATTTCTACTGTAGTAGAAATATAGTGTAGTATTGGTCAATCTTGATCATAATGCACAGACCAATGTGTTCTAGTTGTTAAAGAATTATGTAGATAGGATTGTTCTTATAAATACTTATAAATAAGGCACATGTGTATGCCTGCAGTCCAGACTCTGAACTAGGATCTATTCCATTTAGCTAGGAATAACATACAGATTAGTACGCCTGCAAGCTGTATATGCGGCCATGGATCCCCGCAAATGACCACTGGACTCTCCACTTCCACGTTTTCCTTCACAATAAGTATTCTTCTGCATCTATGTTCCCTACACCTAGATATACAGCCGGGGTTATATTTAGGAGTAAATATACTTCCTTATATACCTTAGAGGTAGCGAGCTACTCTATCGGTTTGTAGGCAACCATCCGCATCGGCGGTGAGCCTTCCACATTTGTATGGCGTAGCTGGAGGGCCACCCTACCCTGCATGGGGACCACGTCAAAAAGGTTACACAATTCGTATTCGCTATCTGTTGAGGGGTAGAGCCCTGCCAAGGTACTGGGCAATTTCATTCTTCTCCGACAGTCGACACAACAGGGGTCCATGGCGAGTGGTAAGTGCCAAGTGCTGTTGGCAACTGGCATGTCTCGGGCTGGGCGACTCCTGATTGAATGAACTCGAAGCTAGTATCTGACAAGGGTGCCAGATGAACAAAATAATAGGCTAAATACCGGTATGTCGTCCCGTCTGACAGCTTATACCCTGGACTTGTCGGAGTAACCCGCTAGACTAGCGATATGCTTTATATATGTTTTAGACTTCAGATCCACTGGTGATCACATCCATTTTCCGCAACGCTTGCTACCCCAACCATCTCTAGAATAGCATGATGGAGATTGCAACGGAGACTACGCGTCCTGCTGCGGTAACCACGAACGTCACTAACGCCAACGAAAATGAAGAGCAGCCTGCAACTGGATATATGCATGGATGGGCTCTCGCTTCTTTGACTCTGGCGTTTATGTCTATCTGCCTCGTGTTAGCTATTGATAATACCATTCTAGGTTCGTGCTTCCCATAATCTGGCGGATGGAGCATCAGACCTGATTGTCGTACCAAGCAACGGCGATACCACATATCACTAGCGACTTCAAAAGCCTTAACGATATCGGCTGGTATGGGTCTTCCTACTTGATCGCACAGATGGCACTGCTGCCGACCTGCGGCCGCCTCTACGCATTCTATAATATTAAGTGGGTGTACTGCCTCTCGCTCGCCGTCTTCGAACTCGGCTCCATCCTCTCTGCAGTCGCCCCGAATTCTATGTCGCTTATCATAGGTCGAGCCATCTCTGGCCTCGGCGCTGCTGGTTTGGTGAGCGGGACGACAACGATTATGTCTTATTGCGTATCTTTGAAAATGCAGGCGATGCTGTCGCCTATCGTCCTGGGCATGTACAACGTTGGATCGGCGATTGGACCACTGGTGGGTGGGTCGATAACCGATAATAAGGTGCTGACGTGGCGGTTTATCTTCTGGATCAATCTCCGTGAGTTTCTGTCGACGAAGAAGCCCATATAGTGATTATGGCTAAAGTTTCAAGCCTTCGGAGCTGTTGCGCTGGCTCTGGTCTGGTTCACCTTGAGGAAACCTCCACCCGCAGTAAAGGGGGACCTACCCTGGGTCCAGAAGCTACGTCAACTTGACCTTCCAGGGGCTACTCTGCTGCTCGGTTCCACATCGTGTTTGAACCTGGCCCTACAGTGGGGCGGCATCGTCTACCCCTGGTCTGATGCCAAGGTATTCGGTTGCCTGATCGGATTCGGTTTACTCTTGATTACCTTCTTGTGCCTGCAATACCTAGGCAAGGAAAAGTTGGTTCCTTCTCTTGCAATTTTAGTCCCTATCTACATACAGAGTACTTGTCCAGCATGCTTGCTAACATCAATCCAAGCTCAAATATCCCTCTTCGCATCTTTCGAAGCCGTACCGTATCGGCATCATGCGGCTTCATGATGCTCGTTCAGGTGGCTATGGTAGTGCAATCGTACTTTTGGCCCATACACTTCCAGTCGGTCAGGAACACCAATGCCAAAGTCTCGGGGATCAATCTACTCCCGTTGATTGTGTCGAACACCCTCGGCACGCTGTGCGCAGGCTCTATGGCGTCGACATTCAGGCACTATGTACCGTTCATGTGGGTTGGACCTCTCGTCCTGGCTACCGGAGGGGGTCTATATCAACTGGTTCGTGCCGACAGCCCGCGGGGACAGTGGATAGGATTCCAAATCCTCTCTGGGCTTGGCTATGGCAGCTGTAGCCAAATGCCAATCCTGGCTGTGCAGGTCGTCCTCCGCAAAGCAGATATACCAACAGGGCTTGTCATGATCATGTTTTTCCAGATGCTTGGGGGCGCGCTGGCTCCTAGCGTTGGGCAGAACCTCTTCACTGATGGACTCCTGCGGAGTCTCAACAAGGTGCAGGGAATAGATGTTACAGCCGTAGTGGAGGCCGGTGCAAGTGGTTTCAGGGAAATTGTTCCTCAGGAGCGATTGAATGCCGTCGTGGATGCATTCAATTCTGCGTTAAGGAACGTGTTCTGGGTGGCGCTGGCTACGCCAGCCCTTTCTTGGATAACAAGCTGGGCAATGGAGTGGCGGCAATTGCCTGACTCTAAGAGACAGGTTACCCAAACGCCGGCCGATGAGGTCGGGGAGAAATAGCTTGACAGCAATGAAGAGTGGCCTGGGGGTAAGGGGAGCATGCCCGACTCATCGCATCGTAATCAATAAAGTACGAATCCGAGCAATACCTAGACGGCGATGCATTGGGAAAAGAAAACGTGAAGGCCTGCAATCTGCCCACGGCGGGCTGTGCTTATGTCGGCGACCAGAATCGGATGATAGGTAGATCTCACACTTTAGAGTAATCTCCCAGACCAGAAGCATCACGTGTTCCTGTGCGTCCACCCTCCCTCCTGTGGGTTAGTTAAACCATAGCACTCGCAGTAGCAGGTGGGATCTACGTTTGCTCCACACGATGTCCATCCGCAAGCACTACGCGTCACTACATCGCTATCCGTAAATAGTGGCAAGGTAGGATGCCATCGACTGTGAATCAGGCGTCTGGTTGTGGACCATCGGTGGTAGGTGGAAGAGTGTACAGAACCTTGAGAATTTCTCTATGCCGTTTGGGAATTGCGTGTTGCGTACAGTGTGCCTACTGCCAAAACTATCTCCCCTTCAGCTTCCTATAATACTCCTGTTTATTCAGAAGGATCCTTCTTGCTAAGGTATAATTATTAGCTACAGCCTCGGCCTGATCAGAAGAGGGTGACAATACAAAATGAGTTCTAGTTGCATATTTTATATATCTTATTGCTCTAGCGAGACCTCACGAGCTTTTCGGGAACCCCATCCCATCCTCCCTACCCCAGATATAATGAACATTTACTATTGGACCTTGCCAGATATTATCTGGATCCCAGTTCTTTGCGTGGAGACCAGGCAAAGAACTAGAGTGCTCACCGATAAAATTAAGACTAGACTTTACCAGAAAGTTTCCAGGATTACTACTTTACCTCTAAGAATTCCTGATGGTACTGTTTATGTGGCGCTAGAGCAATGATATCCAAGTTCGACATTTGGATTTCGGCTGTATTGAAGGACCGGATATGTCTTCCTTGGTCCCGTGGTGGAGTTTATAGTATTATAGTGGTTTTTTGGGGCGATCCTATCCGCCGCTTGCTGCTACGTCAAACTTTCCTGCGAGCTTCCCTGTTTCAATATGTATAAGACTGCTTGTTGATCAATGAATATGGTCCCAAGGAATATCCATTTTTAATGTTGTGGGACTCAACGGCTTAATTATATGTGAGCATGAATCTCAATTTTCGCTCACGTAATTCATGCTCAAGTCCACAGGAAACTATCATATTCGAGATCCTTTCGCAGCCTTGGGTTGGATCAGTTGCACGGGGTAATATCTAGTGAATCCAGGATTGATAACGTACTAACAAGCCCAGTGTTCGTAGTCCTACTCTGGGCTAGGTCCTACTGGTTGAAGTTGTGTTTCCTGACCGTCGCCTGCACGCTTTCCGGATATATGACCCAATAGTATGGATTGGACTTCGCTCGAGGCTCGACAAGATCGACCTGAGATGTAAGTATGTATTATCGACGTTATGGTCCGGTACTCACATCATAGTTCATGAACAGGGCAGTAACAAACTTCTTGATTTCAAACATGGCGACGTTCTGGCCCAGGCAACCTCGTGTCCCGGCCCCAAACTGGCGCAATCAGACATTGAACGTACCAAGGACCCGGACTGCATCCGACTTACACTCAGCAAACTAGCTTCCAGTTTTCTAATACGTGACGGTTCGCCTTCCAACCATCGCTGGGGACGCCACACTTCCGCATCATCCCCCCATGTCGGCCGATAGCGGTTAGTAATATACGGACTCATGCCTACGACGGTACCCCCAGGGTAAAAGTGACCGCAAATTGTCGCTCCTTCAGCAGGAACCACTCGTTCGAGAGGCATAGCGAATGGAGGATCAAGCCGAAGTGACTCTTTAATACAAGCGTCAAGGAAGGGGAGGTTCTGCAGTTGTTGCCATTGAGGAATAGGAAGAGTGAGCCCTGTGGTAGTGCCTTGCTTATTCCGCAGCTCGGTTCGTACTGTTTCCAGTGCGTCAGGATTTTCCACGAGGAAACAGACCACAGATCTAAGCATGGAAGCCGTGGAGTCGGCCCCTCCCAGTATATTGGCAAAGGTCCACGTTGACACAAATCGAAGCGGTACATTTTCCTTTTTCTCCTGGGCCTGTAGATAATACCCGAGGAAGTCACCGTCAGCACATGGTCCGTCCGCGTTTGCATTGGAGAGCGTGTTATGACTGTTCCGACGCGCGTTCCGACGCTCTGCGATACGCGCCAGAACGTAGTCCAGCAAAGGGGCGATGGATTCGCGTTTGATGAGATTTGCTAGTCGATTCTTATGCAAGAGCCAATCGAACCATGGTATCTGCGTCATCTGCTAATAGTTGAGTCTTATCCCATGTCAATGTCCTCCGTGGTCTATAACTTACTGGTCCGATATTCAGATTTGCTCTCTTGACGTCTTCCATGATACCGTGTAAATCTCTCTCATGCTGCACGTACCCATATGGGCGGGAGAATGTCATCAAGCCCATGGTATCGTAGGACATGAATTTAGACCAACTTGTTAGGTCAAAATGTGCGCCCGTGGGCACAAACCGGCGATCAAGCTGGTCAAAAAACATTTGCGTGGCACTATCCATTCTTTGCTCGAAAGAGGATACAGTATACGAGAGCGAATAGTACACCGAGATATGTTGCTTCATCTGTCGATTCGCCGCGTCGTCCTCCGCGGTGAAGACGGAGAGGAGTAGGCCGTCTGTGGTCCACGGCCGGAAAGCGCGGTACATCTTGCTCTGCTTTGGTCAGAAGATTCTTCGCATCCATCAATAGGGAGAGAGACAGCCTGATGGATATGGGTTACGTACCTTGGGGAATCCGCCCCGCAGGTTGAAGATTGTCTGGATGGCCTCCGGGTCACAAATGCATACAAGGTTGGGACCGAATCGTACGGCGGGACCATATCGCCGGTGAGCGAGAGTTTGGTACAGGTGGAGGAAACCACGGCGCGCTAGAATGAAGCGATAGAAGTTGGTGAATTTTGCGACGAAGGGACCGGGGATGTGCTGCAGGTGCGAGTATGTACGGTAGAGGTGATAGACCAGTACGGTGGTGATTCCAATTACCAAGACAGCCAGCGCCTGTTGCGTGTCCAGAGACTCCCACAGCATTCTCAGTGATAATAATGGTGAATATAGTAGGTGGTGAAATGTAGAATATCACTTCCTGTTCATCCTACTTCTATTTATAGTCCGAGGCACAGTGCCTGACTGAAAGACTAGAGGTGAAAAGGGTTGGAAGGCGACAATGTACGGCCTAGGCGAACTTCGATGTCCACTGGTTCAGCGAAAGTACGACCCCAACAAGCCGCAGGATACTCCCCCAGTTCTTGTCACCACAAGAGATCTGTCAATGTGACAGTCCCCAACTGCATTCCTCGGCGTATGTGTTACACAACCTTGGAAAAGAGTCTAGAACCTGATTGCTGCGAAGAACAATCAGAGGAGAGAAGCGATATGCACATATCTACACCCAGCAACTGAGGTACGAGAATCTGTAAGGAGGTGGCAGGGCCTTGAATAGATCGGTTAAGCGCTCTATACTCTTGTTGGCTTGCAGACCGCCCTTTTTCTTCATAGAACTTCATAGCGAAACAGCGGTGAGTTGGAATCGCGCGTGACAGCATTGATCGCCGTTGGGACCGAAGACGCAAGCCCCGTCCAATTTCATAAATAGATGGAAGATCATAGGTGCTGCGTCGCCGCATGTAAGTCCATCTTTGCATCGGCTCTTCGCTGTCGATGCTCTCAGGCCGCATGAAGCAAAGCCTGTCCTGGCTCTCAGAACATGCCTCCGCTGAACCAACCCATCCAAAGGGCGTACTGGAAATGGACATGGCGGAAAATTGGCTTGTCCGACCAGACGTACTTCCTATATTGAAAGACGCAGTGTCGAACCTGAAACAGCAGGACCTCTCATATTCCCAAGAGCTAGGTGGACCTCCAGGGCTTCTGAATGTGTCCGCCTCATTTTTCAATCGTTTCTTCTCTCCTCAAGTTGCTGTTCTACCCGAGCACATCGTTACGAGCACAGGGTGCGCATCAATTCTTGAGACCCTTGTCTTTTCGATTTGCGATAGTGGAGATGGTCTACTACTAGAGACACCCATGTGGGATGGGTTTGCGGTCACCTCAACGCTGAGAAACAACGTGCGGATATGTCCCGTGAAATACTCGAGACGACCGACAAATGCAGCAGATCTTATACAGCACTATAGCGAAGCGATTAACAATGCGACGTGTCCAATTCGGGGCGTCATCGTTTGCAACCCCCACAATCCTCTGGGTCAGCTCTATCCTACCGTATGGTTAGAGGCACTGCTTCAATTCTGCGAAACTCATAATATTCACTTCATCTCGGACGAAATATACGCCCTTTCAAGTTTTGGGGCGATTAGATGCAGTCAAGATGTCAGCAACCCCGACGTTGTGATTGGGCTAGAAACGAAGTTCACATCGGTATTGGCCATAGACCTGAAGCGACTGGGGGTTGATCCCGCTCGTGTCCATATAGCTTACAGTATCAGCAAGGATCTTGGTAGTAGTGGGGTTCGACTGGTTTGTCATCATTCTCAATGCGTAACTATATTGGTGCAATCTAACTCTGACACATTCTCAGGGATACCTCGTTACACAGTCGAATCCTGGGCTCCGCTGTGCACTAGCGGTCCTTAACCGATTCAAGGTGTCTAATATAGCATCAACAGCTGTTGCGTCTCTCTTCTCGAACCTTCAGACACTCGAAAACATACTGGACCGTAGTAAGTCTCGCCTGCGCATAGCGGCGGAGATGGTGGGAAATTTCCTATCATTCCATCACATTGCGTTCTATTCCCCAGTTGCTGGATGTTTCATGTGGGGGCGGGTTGGGGGCGAGCTAGCGACAAAGGAAACAGATGCAGAGCTACTAGAGAAATTTGCAGCGGCAGGTGTGGCTGTTGCTGCTGGCTCTAAGTTCAACGGCGGAGAACCAGGGTGGTTCAGACTCACGTTTGCTCTACCCCGAACGAATCTGATCGAAGGTCTACGTCGAATCGAAATTGCAATGGGGGCGAAACGACATTGGATACCCGAGAATAATGCGGTTGTCGATTTCTAGTCAGGGCCATGACAGGTGGAGGAAGACTCAAATTGGATAGCTGATAAAGGCATTACACAAGCTCCAGGGTTTTCCCTGGCAGCTCAGTCGTCTAGACCGCCTCTAATTAGAACGATGGGCCATCATTGTACAGTCAATCTAGCAGGTGCAACATTACCAACTAATCCACCGACCCGTAGAAATAGTATTGGCGCCGGCATCTTGGGTTACACTCGGGAATTAGATCAGACAAAGGTGCAAAGTGTCCCTTCCCGTAATATCCAAATGAACGTCCGTATGCTGTCCACTGCCACCTAGCATACTTGCAGGCGGAGACCAGCCCGATCAGTACTAGGCCATGCGTCTCAAGTCTCAACCATGTAGGGGGACTCTTTCCCCACTTCACTATCTAAATACACGTGCAAAGGTGGGTAGTTGAGGAAAGAATCTAAATGGCAGGGCCATGTATTACCATACTGAATCTAGCTCGTATCGGGCATACTCTAGTCATAAGACCAATCTTCAGCTCCCACAGTGTATCCGTTTGATAGCTTTAGCCCCATTGGCAGACCGCGGGTGTAGTTGTGAGTGTAGGCTTGTCCGGTGCGTTCGGAGAATACCTCGTCGATGTGCATCTGCATATTATAACTGATACTAATCAGGACTAGATTTCCCCAGAAGGATTGTCGACTCACGCATTCATCTCTTCAATTGTCAATTTCCCCTGCTCACTCTTCACCACGTAAACTGGATTGTGAATGTTGCTAGAGAAACCTAGATAGATGTTAATGTGCATGTATCCGGGGTTCTCTCTAAAGTGCTTTTTTAACTTACCGATTCGCTCGTTGATATTGTGTGAGGCTCTCGCCGCTGCTGCCTGAACCTTGGTTGCTCTCGGGAGACGAACTGACTCATAGATAGACAGTGACTCGACCACATCTCCCTTGAAGTATTTCTTGCTAAAAAGAATGCCCAAGGCAGCTGCGTCTTCAATTGCCATACAGGCCGCTTGGCTTTGGTGAGGCATCATCTGACTGTCTGTCAGTTTCAATGTTTAATTCCGCTAACCAAGATGGTTCAAGACTTGTCGCATACTGGGTGAGCTGCATCACCAAGTAAGCAGACCATGCTTCTTGCAATATACGGATACGGTTCGCTGCGAACAATCAGACTCGTTGAGTAAAGGCCAATTATGCGTTGGGCTAAACTCACTGCATCCATAGACGCCATGGCTGGATTTCTTTGCCAAGGGCCAAATGTCCGCGGACTTGCGCATCGAGTTGAGGGTACGGCATCAGCAACTCTTCCACCGGCCGGTCAGCTCCCCCCCAAGAATGATTCAGGTAGTCTCCTTTCTCCCGTGGGAAAAAGCAATAGTACGATAGCAACCTGCCCCCTCGGCATGGCGAGAGAACGATCTTGTCCCAGACCTCCCCATGGCCGCCCCAGAACTGCAGGGCGTTATCTTTGGAGAAGTCAGTAAGACCAGCGGCGATCGCGTCTTCCGTGACGACGTTTGCATGTAGGCAGCTAGACTCGGCGGGTCGCTTCTCAGACCAGATACCGAGAATACCACGAACGGCGGATCCGATGCCATCCGCGCCGATAATGAGATCATGGTTGGCCATCTCTCCGTTCTCAAACTCAATCAAACCGGTATCGATATGGATGTTCTTGCACTGAAATAAAGAATATTAGATCGGCTGCGCAAGGGCCTGGGCAAGTAGGCGTGCTTATACTGACTCTACACCTTACCTTGTGATTCATGAAGAGTTTCGCGGGCACCCCTTCGCCCTCCCCCAATGCTGAATCCTTCAACATTGTGTGCATACACTGCCGCTGAAACATGTAGTACACGTATCCCCATCGTTCCTCGTAGTCATCCAGTTCATACTCAGTCAGGATCTTGCCCGTCCTCCAATCGCGGCTGATGAGCTTTTTTAGAATGACCCCATCACCCTTAGCCACGTCTACGCCCCACTCGTGTAGCCAGCGCGTACCGTTCGCTGCACAGGAAACAGAAGCACCGGCTTGACGAAGGAAATCGGCACGTTCGTAAACAGATACCTTGTGGCCGGCACGGCGCAGGGCGGTCGCCGCGGACATTCCTCCTATCCCACCGCCAACAACGGCGATGTCTAACTGCCTCCAGCCAGGAGGTGAAAATGACCCCATGAACAAAAAAGAGTGGGAGGCGTTCCCTCAGGGTATGGCGTTGTTGTAATATTGTTAGGTGCAGATGCCTAGTCAGGACTTTTCCATGATCGAATGTCTTCACTTGTCCGGCCCACGCAATAAGTACTCACTGTAATGATCATTGTAAATGAGCAGCTAGGGGCTCGGGTGACACTGCTTAACATGCAAATGTTTATTTATGGGATGTAATTGCGTTACGGTAACTGCATGCCCCACTAATTTGCTGGCCTGTCGATAGTTATTCTTCTGCAGTATATGTCCTGGGTGGGGTCTTAGACATGCAAGCTGGCTGGGTATGGGTATAGCAACCGTGGAAGTGCCCCTCAAAGTGTAGCTGCACCAAAATCTCAATGCAGATATGTTATCGAGGTCCTGGAAATTATCAAAGATCTCGACCATATTTGGGTGCGTCCAATCAATATCATCGGCTCCTCGGGTGCTGTGCCTCAAATAGTCGAGACCATTCTAAGGGCATGACAACCAGTCTTCCTGCAGCATAGACTGCATTAGCTTAGAACCTTCTAAGATTATACAGCATTGCTTTCGTATTCTGGCGATTGGTGGAGAAGAGGAGGTCGTGCTGCTGTTACAAGAGGCGAGGAAGGACGATTCGTCTAATAGGAGGAGCTCCGATATAGGGCGAAGTGAGTTATTGACTTGGCAGTTGGATTATATCTCGCTATCCTATGTCTCAGGAAGCCATCTCGTGTTGATACCACGTAGATCATCTAGCGGTGCTTCCGTCTCTTATCTACCACCCTGGTGAGTCCTACTTGGGTCTACACGAGGATCTGCTAGGCGGATGGATAGACAAAATACATTCTCTGATGCTTTTCCA